TCTTCACTCAAATGGTGGTATCCTTTGAAGTACAGAAGTTTTTTAGCTTCATGTGGTCCCAAATGGCAATGGTTGGTCTTAATACCTGTGCTATCAGGATCCTGTCAGAAAGTCTTTCCCATGCCTATAAGCTCCTTACTCTCTCCTCTGTCAGATTGAAGGTGTCAAGTCTTATGTTGAGGTCTTTGATCCATGTTGATGGATACAGAGAGGAGAGTCCGTTTTCCTTGCGGGTGTGACAGCTAATAGGTTTCAGATTCCAAGGGATGGACTCACACCTAGGAGAACTTGGAAAGCACGGCTTAGATTTGACAGACCCTTGAAAAAAGAAGGGGACAAATAATAATGGAGGACATGAAGTTGAAAGGGACTAGTGGGGAGGGCTGGAGTAAGGAAGGGTTCTAAATGTGATCAAAATACATTGTGTGAAATTCACAGAAATTCTATAAAAAAGAATAATTTTTGCCATAAATATCAAACCCGAAAATGCCTTTTTAATTGTATTCATATATTTAAATATAGTTGTCTAGTATAAAGCTACTTAAGTGTATAATTGTTGTTTCCTATCCATCCTCAATAACATCTCACCCTAAAGTTTAAATAATAACTAGTGCTGTGACAAAGTGTAATCTGAAAGAAAATACAAAGTGAAACAGACAATAAAATCATTTAAGGTATATTTACTATACTAAGATCACCTATTGGGATGGGATTTGTACACGCTTGGGAGTTAGATCTGCATTTCTGTCCTGCAACATCAACACTGGCTGTTTGCAGGGGAGTCCAATGAACGAAAAAGAAGAGATGTGCCAGGCTAATATGCTGCCCTGAGAACCAGTGTTTTCTAATTTATTTATATTTAAACAAAGTATTTTATTGAGAAACAATGATAAATCTTAAGATTATAACATACAGTAAAATATGAGGAAATTTCAAGGTGTTTTCAAATTCTTGACATGTTACACTTTGAGATCAGGAACAATAAATCAGTATTCCCAGCAATTCTCTGAAATTTGGAAATTATGATTTTTAAACATAATTCTCACAGTCTTCACATTCTATTAAAATGGTTAAAATTCCTGGATAAAGAAAAAAATGCACTAGGTTTAGCAATATTTGCAAAGAACTATAGCCTATAGTAATGTTTTAACAATGAAAAACAAAAATTTTAAATTCAGCACTGAGAGAAAAAGTTTTTGATGGGAGGGACTGAACCCAGCACTGGTGGATCTGAGTGCTCTACCACTGAGCAAAGCCACAGATCCCCATGAAAATTTTCAATAATCTCTGTGTGCTGGCAGCACCCACATGTATTCACTCTTCTCTCTTCTCTCACTCCCAGCATTTTCCCCTCCAGTTCAGGTTCTCGTCATCTGATCACTGTATTGACTTAGGAGCATGAGACTAGTTCCTCTCCCCTCTCTGCAGACCTGCATTGGAGCAATAAGTTTATACATTCTGAGAACATTTATTCATTACTTTTTCCTGTAAAATCTTGAACAAGAGATGGTTCCCAGATGTTTAGTGCCATATCACACCAATGGTAGTTTTATATGTGATTAGAATTTAATAGCAATTGAATCAAGGAGGTTATTTTTGTAACTTGTAGGTTTTTTGTCCAATACACTAATAGTCTTAAAGGTTGAGATCTTCTAAAGATCAAGGTGTTCTAATATTAATCTAGCTTTAGCCTTGAATCAGCCTCTCTCTTTCTCCCACATACATGTGCGC